AGGAGAGGGCAATGGGCGGGGCGGTAAAGGACAATGGGGCGGGGCGGCAGAGGACAATGGGGCGGGAGAAAGATGAGGGGGGCGGGGCGATCCGCAGCCGCAGCGAGGTGGCTGGGCGCCGCGGGGGTGCTGCTGGCAGCAGCTCTGGTGATAACATGCTGAGCTGTCTCCTGAAACGCTGGTCCCTCTTCCTCCCGCAATTCAGCCTGTGCCCCAACCCCGCCTGCAGCTTGCTTCTCTTTCATCCCAGTCCCAGCAGATCGCGTTGCAATTGCACGGTGTAAATGCCAACTGTTCACTAATCAGGACTTTACATTCGCAACTATGAGCCTGTTCGCTTCTAGCTACCTCGTTCTGCGGCGGGCAGCATCGGTCATTCAAATGGGCCCCCTGTCACTTTAGCGTCAGGTGAAACAGTGATGGGTAATAAGACCAGAAGGTAAGAGAAGCTAAGAGATAAAAGAAGACTCTCCTTTTACCACTTAAAATCTGCCTTTTATAATTAATACAATTTGTTTTGTTTATGATTAAACGCAGTTTCTGTAATTTCTAAATGGGGGGAGAGGGGGCAAGAAGTGTGCACACCTCTCCCCACACTGAGGGAGGGGGTGAATTTCATAATGTATCTTGGGTCTGCACTCCAAGGGAGTTGGACATCTGAGTGCTGGAGCAAGTCTGAGTCTTCCCAGAGCTGATCTCCAGCTGCGTGTGGCTCTGCCTGTGTGTATATTAGAGGAGGTTTTAAGAGCCTGGCTCAGCAAGACAGGTTAAAGGGGGGCCAGGCTGGCAGAACAGGTATCTCAGCACATCAGGTGGCTTCTCAAGGTATCCAACCTGTCACAGTTGGGTCTTTTGTTCTTCACACAACAAAAATAATATGAAGAAACCACATGGGCACATTTGGGTCCTAAATAATCATGGTTAATTTACAAAATCTACACATTTATGCAAGGCCTAGTCTAGCTATGTACACACCGCTAATCTGGTTGAGTTCTGGCAGACTTTACAATAATAGAACACTGAGTCCCGGTAAAGGGGTATTACCCTGTACCTATTTGTTACATATGGAGAGAGAGAGAGAGAAGATGATGATTTTCTACTTGTTTTTTCTAAATTCCTATCCTGAAGTCTTTCCTTTTGTTCAGAGACATAGAAACCCAAAATATTATTAGTTTTATCCATCTCTCCTTATTCCCACTGCAGATTTGCCATTCCATTTTTACACTCAATCCCATATAAAGTAAATGTTAATGTATTTAGATTTTTCTCTGCCATGGAACCCAATCTGTTAAGGTTGAAGCAAGTGTATTGCAAATTCTGCAGGCACAAACCTTTGTAAGCTGACCGTTCTGTTGCAACCACATGCTATGTTTACTGTTAATATAAAAAAGACACTGCTTACATACCCCTCAGAACCCAATGGAGGGATGTACTGCTAATACTACCCAGCTTAGCTGCAGTGCTACGAAACCTAGGCATAGGTTACTTATATAAACACTGACTCCCTAGAAAAGAAAGTCAATAAATATCTCAAAATGCTAAACTGTACTAATGCTGGGGTTGTCCCTTTTCTGATTATATTCGTACTCAGGAGATATTAAAATATTGTTTTCCTTTTTTATATAATAAAGCATTTTGCAAGTTATTGTCTCTTTTGCTGATTTCTGTTAACTGCTTCCAAGATCTGTAGTGTTCTCTCCCCAGTGTATATTCTCTTGCTGTGCAGTTGCTGTCCTCAGACATGCTTACAGATAAATAAATAAAAATCCTTTTCTCGTGGCCTATACATCCTACTCTGTCCTCTCTTACTCTGTTGTCTCTTCCTTTCCCTTCCTATGCCACCCACATTGAAAGGCTCCCTTTCCTATTCCGATCAAGGAAAAATATATCCGGTATCCCAACCTGGCTTAAGAACAGCATCTCCCACCTTCTGCAAAGGAGACAAGAACAAACCCTTCAGGTTTCATCTCAGCAAAAAACTATTCCTATCCTCCCAAGCACCTAGCAGGCAGGGCTTTATAACCCAGCTTTCTTAGAAGCTCAACAGTTCTGACCCTTCTCCTGTTAAAAAACATTACATGTGCTTTTCCATGCATTGTTTTACTGTCATTTTCCTTGTGATACTTTCCCCTTTAATGAGCCACTTAGTCACTGATAATGCTCACAGAGGAGGATAATGAAAAATAAGTACAGAGCACATCCTCTCCAGTTTAATGCAACAGCAACTATCAGATTCTTTCTGTCTCCTTTTGCTCTACCTCCATGTCATCTGTAACCATTGTGTATTTAATAAAAAATAACATTGTACATGCTTCTGTCGTAGTGTAGCTTACTTTGCAAATAGTGAGTGATATTCCCAAAACTAAGGTCAGTTTACTGCAGAGGCAGAATACTGTGAGGTCTTTGCATTTTTTACCAGGCAGTCAACCTATCTCCCATAATAGGGGTGGCCAACCTGTGGCTCCGGAGCCACATGAGGCTCTTCAGAAGTTAATATGCGCCTCCTTGTATAGGCACCGACTCCGGGGCTGGAGCTACAGGCACCAACTTCCCAATGTGCCGGGGCGTGCTCACTGCTCAACCTCTGGCTCTGTCACTGGCCCTGCCCCCACTCCACCCTTTCCCTGAGCCTGCTATGCCCTCGCTCCTCCCCCTTCCCCCCCAGAGCCTCCTGCACGCCACAAAACAGCTGATCAGGAAGTGCGGGGAAGGAGGGGGAGGCGCTGATTGGTGGGGCTGCCGGTGGGTGGGAGGAGTGTGGGGCGGGGAGCTGATGAGGGGCTGCTGACATATTACTGTGGCTCTTTGGCAATGTACATTGGTAAATTCTGGCTCCTTCTCAGGCTCAGGTTGGCCACCCCTGTCCCAGAATATGACAGGCTCGATTCTTCAGCTTGGGGTGTGTGTGTGTGTGTGTATGTGTGTGATGTCATGAAACATTCTCACGACAGATTCTAACCTCCAACCCCATCAAACATAGCTGCATACTTCAACAAGTATGTTACTGTGCTTGATTTTCAAGTTAAACAGAGATGTGTGTCTTGCATTGGAAGTAAGAATATGGCTCTCAGTTGATGAGTAGAAAAAGACTCTATTGTACTGTTATATTAGCTTGACATCAACTTTTGCACATGTATATGTGACATTGTGAGGAAGAGGATTAAACTACCATCACAAAACAGCAAACCTCTCTTGCACAGTGGGTTTGGACAGATGACTAGGGAGGAGTATAAAAATATTGCTCGAGCATGCAGGGGTGTAATCAGGAAGGCCAAGGCACAATTGGAGTTGCAGATAGCAAGGGATGTGAAGGGTAACAAGAAGTGTTTCTACAGTATGTTAGCAACAAGAAGAAGGTCAGGGAAAGTGTGGGACCTATACTGAATGGCGGAGGCAACATAGTGACAGATGATGTGGAAAAAGCTGAAGTACTCAATGCTTTTTTTGCCTCGGTCTTCACAGACAAGGTCAGCTCCCAGACTGCTGCACTGGGCAACACAGTATGGGGAGGAGGTGAGCAGCCCTCAGTGGTGAAAGAACAGGTTAAGGACTATTTAGAAAAGCTGGATGTGCACAAGTCTATGGGTCCAGATCTAATGCATCCAAGGGTGCTGAGGGAGTTGGCTGATGTGATTGCAGAACTATTGGCCATTATCTTTGAAAATTCGTGGTGATTGGGGGAGGTCCCGGATTATTGGAAAAAGGCAAATTTAGTGCCCATATTTTAAAAAGGGAAGAAAGAGAACCCAGGGAACTACAGACCGGTCAGCCTCACTTCAGTCCCCGGCAAAATCATGGAGCAGGTCCTCAAGGAATCTATTCTGAAGCATTTGGAGGAGAGGAAGGTGATCAGGAACAATCAACATGGATTCACCAAGGGCAAGTCATGCCTGACCAACCTGATTGCCTTCTATGATGAGATAACTGGCTCTGTGGCTATTGGGAAAGCAGTGGATGTGATATATATTGACTTTAGCAAAGCTTTTGATATGGTCTCCCACAGTATTCTTGCCAGCAAGTTAAAAAAGTATGGATTATTGGATGAATAGACTATAAGGTGGATAGAAAGCTGGCTAGATTGTTGGGCTCAATAGGTAGTGATCAACGGCTCAATGTCTAGTTGGCAGTCGGTATCAAGCAGAGTGCCCCAGGGGTCGGTCCTGGGGCCGGTTTTGTTCAACATCTTTATTAATGATCTGGATGATGGGATTAATTGAACCCTCAGCAAGTTCGCAGATGACACTAAGCTGGGGGGAGAGGTAGATATGCTGGAGGGTAGGGATAGGGTCCAGAGTGACCTAGACAAATTGGAGGATTGGGACAAAAGAAATTTGACGAGGTTCAACAAGGATAAGTGCAGAGCCCTTCACTTAGGAAGGAAGAATCCCATGCCCCACTACAGGCTGGGGACCGACTGGCTAAGCAGCAGTTCTGCAGAAAAGGACCTGGGGATTACAGTGGATGAGAAGCTGGATATGAGTAAGCAGTGTGCCCTTGTTGCCAAGGACAATGGCATATTGGCCTGTATTGGTAGGAGCATTGTCAGCAGATTGAGGGAAGTGATTATTCCCCTCTTTTCAGCACTGGTGAGGCCACACCTGAAGTATTGCGTCCAGTTTTGGACCCCCCGCTACAAAAGGGATGTGGATAAATTGGAGAGAGTCCAGCGGAGGGCAACGAAAATGACTAGGGGGCTGGGGCACATGATTTATGAGGAGAGGCTGAGGGAACTGGGGTTATTTAGTCTGCAGAAGAGTGAGGGGGGATTTGATAGCAGCCTTCAACTACCTGAAGGGGGGTTCCAAAGAGGATGGAGTTAGGCTGTTCTCAGTGGTGGTAGATGACAGAACAAGAAGCAATGGTCTCAAGTTGCAGTGGGGGAGGTCTAGGTTGGATATTAGGAAACACTATTTCACTAGAAAGTTGGTGAAGCACTGGAATGGGTTA